ATAAAGGCCCACTAGATGGGGTTTCTAGATGTTAGGATGTCAGAATGCTTGACAAAACTGACTGGGCGTTTCACATCAAAGACTTAAAGTTACCAGGAAGTCATAATTGACAATTCTCATTTAAATATTTATGGCATATTGCAGTATTTATGCATTTTTTTATCCATGCACATTTTTTTTTCAATTCATGTGCCCACGTAATATTTAATAAAACATATTAACATCCTCTACCCCTCACAATGACATCTCTTCTCATCCAACTTGAAGATGGTACAATAATCCCTAACCTGTCAACCAAGCCAATCAATTCCCGATGGACAAAATCAAGTACCGCCCTACTTGGATATACGTCACAATAGAGAAGAAAAACTTCCACAAATTCCATTTACTTCCAGATTTTAAAGGGATAGTTCACCCCAAAATGCAAACTCTGTCATCATTTACATTTACCGCATGCAGTTTTAGAACTGTGTGACTGACTTTTAAATATGACTGCTTCACCTTTATTTGCTTTGCAAAGTTTTTGTTAATTTTGTATTTAGATGGAATTGTTCTTTTTTTTTTGGCTGAAGAAATTTCTCTTTGGGTTTATCTAGAGAGGTTTCTTAATCTTTTTCTTTTCTGCAGACAATATTCTGGATGACAAACCCGAAGGCAAGTCATCCACTGAGAAACTTCAGTATGAGTCCAATGATGAGATGCCCAAGCGGTTCAAGAAAGCGGGAAGCAAAGGAAAGGTCTGTACAGAACTGTAACGATGAACATTTGAGTTCCTTTCTACCTGAATACTTCTGTGATGGTTGTTCTTCTGTGTCCTTGCAGATGTTTGACATGGAACTAGGAGAGGAGTTCTACCTGCCCCAGAATGAGAAGGAGAGCAGACAGATCGCTCAAGAGCTCTCTGATCTGGTCATCTACTGTCAGGCTATCAAATTCCCAGGTTTACATCTCATCTCATTATTACACGAGCACAGTGAGAAAAGCTTAAAGTTCTGTCCGCCTCTGAGACACCCTGAGATATTTGGGCAAAAATAAATTTTTAGGTTTGGCTGAAATAATTTCAGTTTTGGCCAAAATGATGGTGCATTTTGACTGTATCGGTGTCTATTTAGTGCACACAATATGCTGTTTTCAGTTGATGCATGACCAAAACTTCACTTAACAGTATTTATAGCATGCTACCCATCCAATAATCACAATAACCTACTCTTAGTTATTGCAGAAAACATACATGAACATCAGAAGGTGCAGCATGTTGAAAGAAACAACTCAACTTGCTGAAATCTATCATGTCATTAATAAACGTAAAGATGTCAATAAAAGAGCTTGTAAACAATGTCACATAACATTACATTCATCTGGAAAGTAGTGCTGTCAAACAATTAA